ATGGCGGCAAGAGACCTTTCCACAATGGGCCAGAAGATAGGCATGGAGGCGCAGATAATGGCCAGGTCGATTTCGAGGCAGGATAAAATGATCAGGGGAGGTGTCCACCAGGTATAGTCAACGTAAGGATAGGTCGCGCCGTTGGTTTTTACGATGCCGTGTAGACGCCCAACTGCTGTTCCGACAGCACTGGTATTGTCAGTCCAAATATGTTGTGTGTCGTTAAATAGGCCAACTTACACTGCGCCAAACGAGAAAACACCGGCCATTGCTATGATGTTCTTCCTTCGTAAGTTTGGCGTCTTGAAGAGTATCATAGGGGCCACAAATATAGCAATGTCGAACATCATGTTGGTCGCTGATTGAGCTTTGTATGTCATGACGAACTCTTCCAGACCACCGAAACCAAACCCGTAGCATTTCGCTGGAATGGTACGATCCCAGTAGCCACGAACTGGAAAGCAAGGAAACCAGGCGATAAATGCGAAAGCGGTACCCCAGAGTGTCACGGCGACAAGTAGGCCTATGCATATCCATCGCATACGACCAGCCTTGAATATACGCAGATACTGGAATAGCAAAGCGACTTTGATAATCGCACCATTGGAAATGTAAATGGCCAGTTCTATGTAGTAAAACTAGTTAGGTCAATATGTTTTCGTACCAGGAAGCATGGGGCATGTATACTCTTAGATAGGTAGCAACGTTATTAAATCCAAGATACAACATGTGCCGGCCGAGTCCATATCTGATCGCTGTGATTGTTAGCCGACTCCACATTAGTAGGATGCATAACTTACAAATACACACGATGATGGTCGCTGCAGTGTTGAGGCACTGTCCAACAAGTCAACATCCACAGGACTTGGCCCTCGTACTATAAGATTGATGTCCATACCTGAGCGAGAAGCACAAACCCATCATCCCAACCAAACTCCTTGACAATTCTGATGCGAACCCAAAGACGGAAAAGAACTGCAACCCATGCGACGGTCTTTTGTGCAAAGTCAGTGTACAAGTCACTGTGTGGAATCGCTGGTTCCATACCAAGAAAGTGAGTGTAATGCCGAATATTGTTCCTTTTCTGTTCGACAAGGGCTGGGGTTCATCTATTGGCGGCGGATTCGACAACATCTGCGCAATGATCCCCTCCCAGGTGGTCAAGCGTGACATGTCGTTTGCCATCTTGGTGCAGAGGCGAGAGCGCCGGCGCTGCTCAGAACAACGCAGAAATGATAGATGGATACTTACGGCCGACGAGAGTCTGGTGGGGGAGAGCCAGCACTAATGACTGTTGGTGGGCCGTCGAGACCTCTGCGCCGAAAGCTGGTCCACGATTCAGAGCCGTTGCCAAGCTAACTTTATGCCATCTGTGCAGGGCTAATGCAGGTGGAGGTCTGCCGGAGGCTGAACGCTAGGCGAGAGGCAGGCCTCAGGAAGCGGATGGTTGCATTTGACAGGCTTTCGTGCAAACTCTATCCTAGGATCCCAGTCAGGACTCGACGCCTCGAAAATCCCAGCGCCCATATAACAGGGTACCCCACGTTCTGTTATGACAAGATGCAGAGCTTGGATGACGAGATTTCCCCACGCCTCAGGCCATATGTACATACGTACGATGCATGTCGTACTTACTCACATGTATACAATTGTTTAGTGATCCTACAAATATACCCGTCAGCTAGAAGACCCCGGGATCAAATGACGCCACATTCTTCTTCTCCGAGATCGTATTCAAGTAGCCGAATACGTAAGTATCTTCAGATGGTAAGTATGCGGCACGGTGGGTCAGTGTTTTGACACGCAAGACGGGCATCGCCCCTGCATCTGACAATCGACTGAGGCACAGCAATCCTGGACGATTTGGTTTGTCGTGATTTGACACTGGGGGAGGGGAACGTGGCGGAAGACAACAGCCGGTAAAGCGTGGAGGAGAACGACAGCGAACGCTCAAGAACCCGACTCAGTCCCACGCAGCCAGCGAGTCACCGGCGAGAGGAGCCATGGCTATACTGCGACAAAGGATCCGTTCAGATCGCCAGTTTGGTGCCAGGGGGGCTAAGCTCCGGGCGAATTGAAAATACCGAAGGTAAAGCGAATGCGCCTGGCCAATAAAGTCACTCGTGTCTAATGATACGCTAGCCAAAATCCGTCCTGGCAGGATCCGGCCCTCATTTCTTGCGCAAGGGTTTTTCTTGCGCAAGGGTTTTTCTTGCGCAAGGGTTTTTCTTGCGCAAGGGTTTTTCTTGCGCTTGGCCAGGATACTGACTACATACAGCCAGGCACTACTTACTTCTCATACTCGAAAAGTGACATGCTTGCGTCACGATCCCTTGACATTTCTGAATCTGATGCACCGATAGAGGGCGTTCCGCCCGTTGGGAGAAAGATTGCCGAATATTGCTCCTACAGCGAGCAAGGGGACATGTCCACAATTTAGTGGTGGGCCCCGGACACTGTGTGATGTGATAGTGAAGTGCACAAATCTTTTACAGATGCGCATCCAAATATCCAAATGGCCAGTGTCGCAGACAGTCTGTTCGACACGCGTCAGCGCATAACGGGAAACGGCAGCAAATAGCTACGCCGTCTGACTGCATGGTCTACGGGCCGACAAGATTAGAAGAGGTCGTAATGGACACATTGGCGAAGTACTTAGTTACCCACTCAGTCAGTTGTAGTCGCCGTCATACTGCACTAACTCTTCGCGCACATCGAGGGGACAACGGATCTTCGGCGCGAGTGGTAAAAGTCCGGCCTAAGTAGCGGCTTTCGAGAAAAATATTCTAGAACGCACATGTATACTGAAGTCCATAGCTCCAAATCGTACGGGTTTTTAGGTGGCATAGACCCCTTTGAAGACAAATACAGTCAAGCGGTCTGCAATGCAACTATAGCCTCGGGCTGTTTTTGTAGGCAACATTTGATGTGTTGTAAGACTGCTCGCATTTATTCGCCGGGGGTGCTTATCGAAGCAGATAAAGCTTCCTAACTTGGAAGGCTTCGGTTTCAACGAGCCGCGTTCGCACATCAAGTGCGCCGTATCACGGAAGCAAAGTATGCGCATCGTGCTCGGCGATGTGTACAAGGCTTTATAGTGTTCGTGTGCTTGCTTTACTGGAAATTCAGCCCGACTACGCATCTAGCTGAACGTAAACAGAACTCGTCTACCCACCTGGTTCTGATGAGCTTGGCCTAAAAGAATCGATCGGATCTGCCGTCGGGCGGAAAGCTGGCCGGTGGATATAGTTTACGAGCATGGCCGACTACGAGCAAGGAAGATGCCAACATCTATGTCTAAAATGACTAGTTTAATTAGTGTTGGCCAGTCATGAAACCTTCAACTACGGGACTACGGCGCGGACGATAGTTTCCTAATCAGTGGCCTGGTTCCACACTGCTAGGCCTGATCAATCATTTGGCTCAGTAATCGAAGGTATGCCCGTCGCTCATAATGGGCCCATCTACCTAAAGGGATTGATGAACGGTTCGAACATTTCTGAAGCTGACACTGGGCAATGCTACTTCGTTAGCGTACATGTCCTTTGCCATATGTTGGCGGGCGGAAGTGGAGAATGATTGAGGTTTGTCAATAATCTCCGACTTAGCTTTGGATCAAGATGGCGAACATGCTCGGTAGATGGCCGCAAGGTTCATTGATTCATTTCGAGTGTCTTCATCGTTGGAGATCCCTCCTATCTTGGAAGATGACGAGTACGCTTCCTGAGTTATAAAGCAGTATCTTTGCTATAGGTGGACCCAGCACCTCGAGCGACAATAGTATCAAACTGAGAACATATGAAAGCCGCGGTTGAAAAGAGCAGGTATATCGAGATTTCTATCAAGCTTGTGACACTAATTACCTCAAGCTTGACCATGCCATGCGGAGCTGGTGCGACAGAGTGCCGTGCCCTTGGGTATGAATTTATAAATGGGTTTCCCTTTTCGACCACGAGGCTACCTGTCATTCTCAAACACCAGAGCCAAGTTCAAGAGCGCCGGCGTTCAGTGCTTGTTCAAGATGTTTCTAGAACAGTGTAAACAGCTCTACAAGCATCCCCATGCTCTTGATCAATGTGAAAACGGTGTAAATTTAACGTTATTTCCGGTTCGTGAAACAGCAACTACCAAATTTCATGATAGATTGCATGTCAATATCCGGTGATTTACCACTGAGCAACCGCGCTGCGTTTGAAGATGTCGATTAAGTATGTCAGTTGAGTGCGCAAAATTTCGGTGGCAAATGAACTGAATGAAGAGGCTGCAAGAGCTGATGAAGGAAATTATGTGTGACCCAGAGAATTTAAGTGATGACGAGCAAGAAAACTATATCTGAAAGTTCAGAAACTATGACACTACTTTTCTGGTCTTCATTTGATCTACAAACAGGGACTTACGATTACGTCAGTGCTCTAAATTTTCGGCCAATTGAGCTTTTGGTCACTCTACTACATTCACGATCGCAATGTCAAAAACAGGTAGTGCAATGAAATTCAGGGCCAAAGTTACAGACCGAAGAGAACAGCCAAGCTATCTTTAAGCCCCAAAATCTAACAGTAGGTCGACACACATGTGGGTCATACGTAGTCTGGCTCATCCCACAATCCCGGATACACGCATCCGTCAGTGTTTCACATGTTTTTATGGTTATTTGCATGAAGATCTGTAGAACCCCACCTCCGCTCACATCACAACACCTGTGCATGTAGTCCTTCAAGGCCCCCGACACGAGTCTTAGCTGGGCGGGTGTAGCGCCTGGACCAAATCCAAACCCTTGCGGAGGAGTGGATCGCCAGCTCGTGGATCCCCTGCCCACCTTCTGTTTCAGGAACCCTGCACGAACACGTCGGAAGGGTTGCGTGATAGATAAGAAAAAGCAATTGTGGAGTACTGGGCGCCCTAATCTATGACTACTGGATTGTGCTAGCAGGCAACCCATGCATAAGAGATGGAGACGTAATGCCGGGAATCATTTGAATTCATCGTATAGTTATACTCATTCAAAGCGGCCTTTTGCCATCAAAGAACCCCGGCCTCTGAGCTTCCAACTGGCTCGGCACCAGTTTTCTCAGCGCACGCAGCACCGTTTCCAGCTCCTGTTCATCAGCGTGATGCCACAGGTTGCGTATTTCCTCCCAAGCTCTCAATGTGCGCTCTGGGGCCGTACATTTTGCGAAGGCCCTAAGAGCCGCAATGACCGAGAGACTTGATATCCACGTCCGTTCAAGGTCTTCATTGAGAGCTCTCAGATAGCGCTGCCAGATCTTTTCAAGTTTCGAGGCTGTCCATGAAGAGTAGCGTACTCCGCCAAAATTATTGAAGCCATGGAAAATGACGATGAAAATAGTCCCTTCTAATGGGACTGAATTCCAGTTCATTTCCTGCAGCAGCTCGTGGACACGGTCGATGTTACCTGCTACCCCAGCGTGGTGACGAATCAAGACACCATATGTGCGCGAGTCTGGTGCGATGGGCGCAAAGTCTTGCAGCTTCTTCAGTTCCTCTTCATTTTTCTCGTGGCTTAACCTCCGCGTCTCGTCTCTAAAGTGCATTCCCAGGAGACGGCGGTCACGCCAATTGCGGTTGAAAAACGTGTGGCCCGGTGCTGGAGATGCGCGCAAGGCGTGCAAGCGCTTCATTCGCTCGAAAACATGCTCTGCCGCCGCAGGTTCTCCAGCACGAAGTAAGGATGCTATGACAGCATTCATAACCACTGTGTCCACAATCTCTCCAGCTGCGACCAGTTCTTGATAAGTCCTCCTGACTGCGTTGCCGTTTTGTAGGACACCGTAATAGTAGAGAAGCGATACACGGTGATGCCGATGCATTGGCATTTTCCTAACTTGCATTTCTTTGAGAAAAGTCTCAGCGAGTGTGTATTTTCCGGACTTTACAGACACCGTAAAGAGCACGTTGAAAGTCACATAGCCACCTCTGATACCAGCCCGGTGCTCCATGTCCCGCCAGATGTTGAGAGCTGACTGGATCTTGTCTTCAGCTATCTTGCACATGGCATTTCCGGAAAGGTGTATCGCTGATGTCCACTCCGACCGAATGATGTGTATGTGTGCATTCTTCATGTCGTCAAGGATAGAAAGGTAGCGTTGCATTGCGGTTAGCGTAGGACGCTCCACAATAGCGAGGTGATGAAGCAGAGCTCTTATCGTTTCAATCTTGAGATATACAACTCCGGGTGATGGTAGCTTCTTGTATGTCTCGAAAATCTCGCCATGTGACGCTTCTTCATCTTTGAGTAACTCTTCCAATCTTTCAATGTGCACAGCGTCTGTTGGGTTGCGGAGGGGCCATGGTTCGTGACTGTCTCCAACATTCCACACCAGTTTCCCATCATCGGGGACATCTTGTTCGGGCCCAGTTTCAAGCTCCATGCCGTAGTAGTCTACCAGGGCTTGTAGCTCTTTTTCAGCAAAGTCCTTAACCTTGTTGAACGGACCCCTCCGCTGCAGCCTGGTATTGGGAGTCTTTTCTTCTGGATTGGACCATGTGCTACTCCATCGCCCAGTATGTTTCTTTGCCAAAACTGCATCTACCCTGGACAATTTTGGCATCCGCTTTGCATGCTTTGGGCACGATGCCGCCTGCACCAATGCCTGGATGAAAAAAGTGTCCATGTGGGGCGTCTGTCTGGGCGCTGATGGCGCATTGTCTATCGACTTCTTGCTGAACCTTCTCTTTGCTGTATTCCTGTCGAGGGCTGGACATAAAAAGGAAAGAAAGGGTCGTGCGCTGGTGGTATTGGAGACTGCGGAGGTCCGGTCGAGGGTACGGAAGAGGGACATGAGAGGTCGAGCATCGTGTCAGTGGGAGCCTGTTCAGACGTATTCCATTTGCGAGCGCAGCTACAATTGATTAGGTGGAGCCCATTGGGGAGCTTTCCATAGGGCGAGTGAATGACGGTACTGGTGGTGATGCGCAGATGCCCGCACATGGACCATCCAAAGATTTCCAATGTCGCGAAGTCTTGGCGAAATCTTCGGAGTTTGCGCGGGCAAGAACAACGATGATAATATCCACGACATCGCCCATTGTGCCCCGTAGCCGATCGCCACCCCCTCTAAACAACCTCGAAGATTCTTTCACATGATATAGCTCCCGTGAGAGTATAACTATCGACACTGCCCGCCATGGGCCGCTACGACTTCCGCCCACTTCGCGTCCGCCAAACCGCAAAGGCCCTCTTCGATGCAAAGCGAAACCCAGAGCTGCCGCAATGGTACGATGTTATTGGAAACATTCCCCCGGGTGAGACACTCGCGAGGCCAGTGCTGCGGGTACCCAAGATGCGCAAGGCGCGCAAGGCCAGCAAACTATTCAAACCACTGCCCATTGCATATCCCGAGGACAAGCTGCGCTCAGAATTCTTTGGTGACCACCCATGGGAACTGGCACGACCAAGACTAGTAGTTGAAGACAGCGGAAACGACTCGAAGAACTATGATTGGAGCAAGATTGTACAGCCGGGCAAGCAATTAGATGGTGAAAGGTGTGTCGAGCCGATATTACTGCTTCTCACGTGGCCATACTAACACAATGAAGCGTCGTCCAGCGACAAATGTGGCTAATGAAGAACGCCTCTCTCTCCAAAGCCTCCGCATACGACGTTGCCCGCCGCGAATTCTACAAACACCGCCACCTCTCAGAAATACGCTCACGTATCGCCAAAGAAGAAGCCCTGCACGTCGGTGCCTACTTTGGCAAGGGACCACTTGAGATTGGTATGGAGCTCGAGGACCGCCAGTGGGAGAACTGGAAGGCCTGGGCTACCAAGCAGATTGAGGATGAGCAGGCTATGCGCGCACAAATGTTCAGTGGGCAGCAGGATGATGGTGTTGGCACAGATATGAGCAGCAACGAGTATGACCAGGCTATCGAGGAGTTGCAACCAGTTGCGCCAAATAACCCTCAAGGACAAAGGCCTTTGGGCGGTGTCGCGGCCCACGCCTAGGCTTGCATGTATTGATAGTGTAATGTTCTTGTGTACATGTATGGCTATGGTTGACTTGAGCAACCAGCCAAAGACGTTATGAATCTCTTCAATTTTACAATCCGAAACATGAACCAAGGTAGAGAGATCGTGATGTATCAGGAGGATGTCGTTGGGTCTCGTATGTGATGACATTTCCGCCAAATCCTTAGTCACCGTACACTAAACATCCACTGATTCAATAGCTACTGTCTCCATCTTCGTATTCGGGAAAAAGATTCATTGAGTTAAGATGCAGCTAGTCACAAAGGTTGAGCTGACGAAATCGACATGCTCAAGAGGGCATTGAAATCATGAGTCGGGCACATCCATTTAGATACCGGTTGGCTGCCACCAAGAGTCATCTAGAGAAAGATATTACCAGAAAGTAACTACTAGTACTCGCTACATGGGTGTATAAGTCTCCAATCAGAAGCTTACAGGGGAAGTCACTAAAATCTGACTGGCAAGGCAATATAGTAATACATGAGCCTCACTCGCTAGCCTAACCCTATTCGTTATCCGTAAATCAGAGCACCGCTCAGGTTATCTTTTAATTCTGAAAGATAAAAAAAGGCTCTTAATATAACTGGTCAGAATCATACAGATGAGACAATAATGAATAAACAAGGGATATCACATATTCATTACTACTCAATCTCGCTCCAGCATTATTTACAAACAAAATCGACCAACAAAGCACCATCTTAAATCTTACCCAAACCAGCGCCCTTCTTAACAACATCCTCCACCTTGCTCAACGGCGTAAGGTTATACTTATACGGCGCCTGTGTAAAATTTCCAACTTGGGTAATATTCACGCCCGCCTTTCCGAAATCGTTCTTCGCGCCCAAGTTCGCAAAGCCATCAATCTCATAGTCGCCATCGGGGCTAGTGTTTGGGCTGTCTTGTGGGATAACAAGACCGTATGTGCTGAGTGCCTCGCGCGTATCTCCTTTGAATACGTTGCCCTCGACGAGAACTTGGTTGTCGCTTCGTGAGTGGATGGCTTGGTAGAGGAAGTCAACGAAGAGGTTGTTGTAGACGTGCTGGTGGCCGAAGCGGCCGGCGGGGCCGCGTGTTCCTTCGTGGCGCCAGTAGTTGTGGTGGTAGGTGACGTGGAGGTGGCCTTGGTCGATGTCGCGGAAGGCGTCGCTGTTGCCTACCAAGGAGCTCTTCCAGTGGTCGTGGAAATAGTTCCAGGATACGGTGATCCAATCTGAAGCGCGGATGATGTCGACTTGACCGTCGAATGCATCGGGGCCTAGCGCGGGGAAGTTACCAGTAGTGAATTCGTTGTGATCGATCCAGATGCGCGTGCTGTTGCGGATTGTCATGGCGTCGTCGGCAGTAGCTGTGAAGCCAAAGTTGCGGATGATGACATTGGTCTTGTTGTAGATGTTGAGGCCATTGCCTGTGATTTGAGCGCCTTTTCCAAGGCCAATGAGCGACTTGTTGGATTGGACTTGAACTCGCGAGGTGAGGTTGAAGTTGCCCTTGGCGTAAACTACAAGAGGCTCGGTGCTCGTTACTGCCTTGACGAAGTCGGCCAAAGTCTCTACAGTGACGCTTTTTCCATCCTTGGATTGTCCACCAGTTGTTGGACCAATTGGGTTATCTTTTGCGAATCCCACCAGACTGAAGTCGGAGCCTGTAGGCGCTGCGGTCGCAGATAGCGCAAAGGAAAGGAATGAGAGGGCCGATAGCTTCATTTTGGCTTGCAGTAGACACTAGTAGAATACGTGAATTATTAGGAACTACCTGGCGGCAAACAGCAAGCGATATTGTCCCCATTTTATCTACTGTCACGATCGACCTCTAGAGCACCAAAAAGCATACTGCAATGTCGTACACCGTATGAATGACCAATTCTTCCGGAAAAGTGGTCCCTGGCGCATCGAGAAGCAGGTCCAGAAACCCGTATAGCACATCTCTATACCAAAGCTATTATATGGCTGCTACTATTTAACTTGGCGAATCTCGGCTAGGTGTGTCATCCTTGGCAGAACTAAACAGCGATTCCAGATACCGTAAGTGTGGCTTGTCATGTTGGAGTTGAGTGGTGGAAGTATACAACCCCAGGTTTTACGGTGGCTGATACGGCTAGATGGCGAGCTCGGACTCCGGGGAAATTGGGGCAAATGCGCTTGGCATGTGGCTTGCATTACCACTTGGACCTCTTTCTCGAATCATGTATTTCCTCTAGAAGTTCCCTGCATGCACCGAGACTTTGCTTCTGCAGTGGCGAATTGGCGATACGGTGAGATGGCAAGCTCGGGCTACGGGAAGTTCGGAGAAACCAATTTCGCAGGTGGGTTTGAACATATCGCCATCTTTGCATTCTGCTTAGATTATACACCTATTTGAGAGACTTTTTGCATGCACTGATGTCCTGATTTTATTACGGCTAAACGGCGCTGTGACACGATTTCCCGCATCCTTATCGTCATTTGTCCTCTTAGCCGCGAAATTGTTGTTTCGCATTACACTTTAGCGGCGCCACCAAGTCGTATTTGAATTCAAAATGCATATTCTCCAGACTTTTTTATTTACGCATATCTAGAAATCTAGCTAGCCAAATAATTTTTGTGGTGCCTGGAAGTTCTGTTGTCAACTACATTTCGAAAGTATTCTTCAGAAACATGAACAGTCGAGTTGTGGTTACAGAACCGAACGTGTCTAGACTCTAATATGAATCGGTAACTCCGTGTCATTTCCTTATCTGCCAAATTTTGTCTTGACTTGATCTGCGAGCCACTCTGGTGTTCAAAGACACGGTTGCCCAGCATCTTGCAGCATCAGCATGTGTAACGGCAGCTCATCATTCAAAAATCGTTGAAACACGAGAATCTTCCCGAGATGCCGATCAGGTGCATTCCGGGCCGGCTAGCAGCGAAGTCGGCTGCGGTATTTACAGCGTCAATAAGGATGGGGGCCTGGACAGGCACATACCATCATCGGTAAAGGCTCCTCAAACTGCTCCTTCTTGCAGCTCTAGTTGCACTCCGATATTGCGTCCATGGGCTTGGAACATATTCTAATTGGCTCGAATCATCTTTACTCCTATCTGTTTAATCTATGCGAGCAAGTTGGGAATCTCCTTCTCGGGTTAGTGCTGCCACCACGTGACGAACTCTAAAATCTCATGAGATATAAAAAAACGGCTATCAACAGCTAGTAATTGCATGGTCCAACTGTAGGTCACACGAGAGCTCTTCATCTGAAACATCCGTTTGGGGAATATTGAATCTTCGTACAAGTAACGCATTTCATGTCAGATTTAGAAAATAGCCCTTTCTTTCTATTCTCGCCTTTGAGATGTCCATCTCCTTTCTCTTACCGTTGATGACGTATTTCATGAATCGTGGAGGCGCCAAGACCAATCCACATGACACTTGTGAAGTGGACCCAAGGAAAAAAAAATAAAGTCTTCAAAAACATACAAAACATACGACAGCGGGGATTCGCTAGTGGTCTCCCACCTAACTACTAGACCGCCGGTACAAAGCTTGAGTATTGCTGAGCGAACGGGAAGCACTAATTTATTCGTCCTATGGCCGTATGTGCCATGTAACTCTCATTAACTAGGACAGATTCTCAGGTTTGTACCTAGAAGGAGTGCTTAAACGACCTCGACGCATCGAAATACAAGTAAACTATCATATTCCCACAGTTGACTGAGAACTCAGTAGTCCAACAAAATAAAATCGTAAGAACTAAATCGAGATAGTTGTTACAACATGGCATTCCGTTGTATTCTTATAACGAGTAACACCAAAAGATATATATCTTCACCAGGCTCAATCCTCGAGCCCC